CAAGCAAGAAAGGAGTCTTTGGACAATGGTGAGTTATTTCAGGCACCCACTTTTCCTTCACATTTTCAAATGAGGATGGAGAGACCACTGAAAAACAGACTAGAAATACATCTGTTTGTGGATAACTCAGCGGTCGTAATCTGTCATAATCCTCTTGCCCTGCAGTATCAAAAAGTCCAAGAGTATATGGCTCTCCACCAATCATAACTGTGACTGCATAGTTGTCAAAAACAGTCGGTACATACTCAGACGGAAATTTGTTTGTTGTGTAGGATATCAGAAGACATGTTTTACCAACGGCACCATCGCCCACAACAACACACTTAATTGTCTGCATTGCTGAAACAGTTTTGTATCCACTTTAAATATTTCAAATTCGATGATAACCTCAGCTTCTCCGCCGGGGCATTGGCAGCACTCGAAATGTATGGAAAACTTCTAAACTCATTCTTTGAGGTAGGCATTACCCTGATCTCAAAAATAAGGACCCCACCAAAAAGGAGAATTACGTACCAATATTCCTGATCAACACGGATGCCAATATGCTCTCCAAGATACTAGCTCTTAGGATCCAACAGTACATTAAAAGGATTATTCACCATGACCAAGTGGGATTTATTCCTTGGCTTCAGGGATGGTTCAACATCCGCAAATTAATCAGTGGGATACACCCTATTAATAAACTGAAAGGATATATACCATATGATCTCAATAGATGCAGAAAAAGCGTTTGACAAAATAGAGCACCTTTCTTGATAAAAACTTTCAAGGAAATAGGGGAATAGAACATACCTCAGTATCATAAAAGCCATATACAAAAAACCTACAGCAAATATCATCCTCAATGGAGAAAAACTGAGAGTTTTTCCCCTAGTTCAGGAACATGAATGGGATGTCTATTCTCGCCACTGCTATTATACATAATACCAGAAATCCTAGCCTTAGGAATCAGAAAACAGAATGAATTAAAATGCATCCAAATCAGCAGGAAAGAAGTCAAACTTTCACTGTTTGTAGACAACATGATACTCTATGTAGAAAACCCAAAAGACCCCAGAAGAAATTGCTAGCAGTTATTCAGGAATTTAGCAAAGTCACAGGATATAAAATCCATGCACAAAAGTCTATTGCATTTCTGTACACTAACAATGAAGCAGAAGAAAGAGAAATCAAGGAATTGATCCCACTTACAAACAGTATGGTAGTGGCACAAAAACAGATGTATAGATCAATGGAACAGAAGGGACTTCATCAGTATAAAAATCTTTGCACATCAAAGGAAACAGTCAACCAAACCAAAAGACAACCAATCAAGTGGGAGAAGATATACGGAAATGCCATGCCAGATAAAAAGAATAGTATGCAAATCTATAAAGAACTTATCAATCTCAACACCCAAAAAGCAAAAAGCAAACAAACAAACAAACAAAAAGAGTCAAGGAATGGAGAGAAAAGGGCGCCTGGGTGGCTGAGTCAGTTAAGTGTCTGCCTTCGGCTCAGGTCATGCATGATCCCAGGGTCTTGGGATTGAGCCCTGCATCAGATCCCCTGCTCAGCAGGGAGTCTGCTTTTCCCTTTCCCTCTGCCTGCAGCTCCCCCTGCTTGTACTCTCTCTCTCTCTGACAAATAAATAAATGAATAAAATCTTAAAAAACAGAAATGGAGAGAAGAACATGAACACACATTTCTTCAGTGAAGTCCTACAAGAGGCTAACAGGCACATGGAAAAATTTTCAACATCACTTGGCAATAGGGAAATACAAATCAAAACCATAATGAGATACCATCTCACACTGGTCAGAATGGCTAAAATTAACAACTCAGGACATAAGATGATGGCGAGAATGTGGAGAAAGGGAACCCTCTTACAGTGTTGGTAGGAATTCAAACTGGTGCAGAAACTCTGCAAAACAGTATGGAGGTTCCTCAAAATGTTAAAAGTAGAATTCCCCTATGACCCAGTGATTGTACTGTTAGGTATTTATCCATAAGACACTAAAATACTGATTCAAAGGTGCTCATGCAACCCAATGGGTATAGCAACATTATCTACAATAGCTGAAATATGGAAACAGCCCAGATGTCCATTGACGATGAATGGATGAAAAAGATATGGTATATATATACACTATGGAATATTACTTAGCCATCAAAAGTAATGAAATCTTGCCATTTGCAAAAACATGGGTGGGAGTAGAGTATATTATACTAAGCGAAATAAGTCAGTCAGAGAAAGGCAAATACCATATGATATCATTCATATGTGGAATTTAAGAAGGAAAACAGGTAAACATAGGGGAAGGGGAGGAAAATAAAATAAGATAAAAACAGCGAGGGAGGCAAACCATAAGAGACTCTCAACTATAGGGAACAAACTGAGGGGTGCTGGAGGGAAAGTGAGTGGAGGGATTGAGTAATTGGGTGAAGGACTCTAAGGAGGGCACTTGATGTAATGAGCACTGGGTGTTATATGCAACTGATGAATTGCTGAATTCTACTCCTGAAACTAATAATACACTATGTGTTAACTAAATTGAATTTAAATTAAAAATTTAAGAAAATAGGGAAATCATCTTAAGATGGCAGCAGAGTAGGGGACCTCCCTTCATCTTGTCCCTCAAATTTAGCTGGATATCTATCAAACCATTCTGAACATACACAAATTCAACCTGAGATGTAAGAAGGTTTATCTGGATCTCCACAAGCAGAAAAACAAATACTTTTTGCAAGGTAGAAGATGTGGGACCTTGAATCTTCAGGGGAAATATCCGAAGATAAGTGGGGGGGGGGTGGTAAGCTTCGATAAACAGGCCACTGGAAAGTGATATAACACCTGAGTAAAAAAACCAGGACACTTGGAAATCTGCTCTAGTGAGAGGCATCCCCTTGTTAAAAGGGTACAGGGGATGAATAGGGCAAACATCTAGGTGGATCATTGTGGTCTCAGGATTCCAGGAAACTCAGAAAGAATGGGGGAGCCTGAACTGATAGAGTGCCCAAGCAGTGGAGCAGGGAGACTGGTTATGGTCAGCGAGCCCAGATGGGACTCTCACCTCCAGTCACCATAAACCATGAGCCAAGCCAGTAGGGAGACTGCCCTTTGCCAGACCACCTTGAAAAGGACTAGAAGGTGCAGGCTGTTTAACATCCTAAGAGAGATAAAACGGCTTAAGCTCATGACAGGGCCCATAACTCCTCCAGGAGAGGTGTAGCCAGTGGGAGCCACAGGATCCAGTGGTTTGGCACACAAAGAGCCCATGCCCACGACTGGGCAACAGCTCTCAGGGCAATGTGACCCCCAAAGGGACACTAGGGCCACACCCAGGGTGACCTAGGAGCTGCAGAAGACGGTGTACATGCAAGCCCATGGCTGCTAGCAATTGCAAAGTCACAAAGTGCACAGGTGCTCGAGGATCCCCGTGACTCCCCCAAGAGGGGTGCGGCGAGCATGAATTGTGTGAGTCTGTGGAATTTGGTACACACAAAGGTGGAGATGGTATGGCCTGAAAGATTTGTTGGGGGGTGGCCCGCAAACTTTCACCCCTGGGCCAGAGATTCCCCAATGGCCATATTTGCTCTGACCCTCGAAAGAGAAGCAGAAAGATGCCAGGGAACAAAACCACACAACCCACCAGCTTACGTTAAGCTCATCCCCCTGACAAGGGTTGGTGCGACTCCTGAAAAGCCCTGCAACAGGCCCTCCCCCAGAAGACAGGCTGGAAGTAAAGGTGAATATTAAGCTTATTTCCCACGGGACTAAAACTTCAGTGCCAGGGGAAATAATATAGGGAGCTAGCTCCAGGTGTTCCCTCAGAACTCGTTTATAATTCAGGCTAAAATTTTAATTTATTTTTAGTTTCCTTTCTTATTCTTTTTTTAATCTCTTTTTCTTACCTTGTTCCTGTTTCAAATAGATTATTTCCCAACTTATTTTTTTTGCTTTCTTTTTTTTAATTATTTTTTTTTTGATGTAGAGTTCCATGATTCATTGTTTGCCTATAACACCCAGTGCTACATTCAATATGTGCTCTCATTAATACCCATCACCAGGCTAACCCATCCCCCCATTCCCCTCTCCTCTAGAACCCTCAGCTTGTATCTCAGAGTCCACAGACTCTCATGGTTTGTCTACCCCTCCGATTTCCCCCCTTCATTTTTCCCTTCCTACTTTTTATTTTTAACATATAATGCATTATTTGTTTCAGAGGTACAGGTCTGTGATTCATCAGACTTACACAATTCACAGGACTCACCAGGGCACATACCCTCCCCAATGTCTATGAGCCAACCACCCCATCCCTCCCACCCCCCACCACTCCAGCAACCCTCAGTTTGTCTCCTGAGATTAAGAATTGCTCATAACAGTGAAATCATATGATACTTGTCTTTCTTTGATTGATTAATTTCGTTTAGTATAATACCTTCTAGGTCCACCCATGTCATTGCAAATGGCAAGATTTTGTGTTTTTGATGGCTGCATAATATTCCATATATATATATATATCTCACTACTTCTTTATCCATTCATCTGTTGATGGACATCATGGCTCTTTCCATAGTTTGGCTATTGTGGACATTGCTGCTATCAACATTGAGGTACATGTACCCCTTCAGATCCCTGCATTTGTATCTTTGGGGTAAATACCCAGTAGTGCAAGTGCTGGGTCGTACAGTAGCTCTATTTTCAACTCTTTGAGGCACCTCCAAACTGTTTTCCAGAGTGGCTACACCAGCTTCCATTCCCACCAACAGTGTAGGAGGGTTCCCCTTTCTCCATATCCTCGCCAACATCTATCATTTTCTGACATGTTAATTTTAGCCATTCTGAATGGTGTGAGGTGGTATCTCATTGAGGTTTTGATTTGGATTTCCCTGATGCCGAGCGATGTTGAGGACTTTTTCATGTGTCTGTTGGCCATTTGGATGTCTTCTTTGGAAAAATGTCTGTTCATGTCTTCTGCCCATTTCTTGATTGGATCATTTGTTCTTTAAGTGTTGAGTTTGATAAGTTCTTTATAGATTTTGGATACTAACCCTTTATCTGATATGTCATTTGCAAATACCTCTCCCATTCTGTCAGTTGTCTTTTGGTATTGTTGACTGTTTCCTTTGCTGTGCAAAAGCTTTTTATCTTGATGAAGTCCCAATAGTTCATTTTTACCCTTGCTTCCCTTGCCTTTGGTGATGTTTCTAGGAAAAAGTCGCTGCGGTTGAGGTCGAAGAGGTTGTTCCTGTGTTCTAGTCAAGGATTTTGATGGACTCCTATCTCACATTTAGATCTTTCATCCATTTTGAGTCATTTTGTGTGTGGTGTAAGGAAATGGTCCAACTTCATCC